CGTCATATGGCGCCAACCACAATTAAGGTCTGGCTCAATACGGCGCCAACGACAAAATGTTCATGATCAAAGCCCCGCGCAGTCCCTGCAGCCAAGGTTCCGTCCAAAAAGAACTATTTTGGAGGTTTCTGCCGCAGCAGTAGCTAGTTGAAAATTTCAATTTTTAATTCAAAATATCCCATGGGGCAGCAACATTTTTCTTGCTCATCCCTGTTGGACATTCACCTTTCACAGGTTATTCGAAAGCAAGAAAAAGATCGATTGAGACTGCCGGCAATAACCCGAAAAGTGATGGAGAAAGTTATGAGCCACCGGTGGCTCAAATTGTCCCACGTGGCCACTCACTTATGAGCCACCGGTGGCTCAGAATGTCGTCAACGTGTTAATAAAGCATCCAGACTAGGATCGAGGGCACGACTTCCCGTGGGTGGCTCCAAAACATCTTTGGTCGCGTAGTGTTCCTGTTGACTGCTTTCACTCATAATGTGTTTATCTAGACCTCAAGTGCCTAATGGAAACTACCTTTGGATACTACATCCACCCCCGGATATGAGGTTTTTTCCGCCCTCCCAATGTGCTCACCTCTTGCTTTGGTCAATATCACTCTCGGTGGTTTCAATGATCCTTGCCTTTTATCGCATCTTCCTCCACTGAAGATCTTAACATCTTGCTGTTTCAGCACCTTACGCTGGACTTCCCACATCTTTCTCGCAATCTGTGATACCTAACCTATGGCCATGCAAAGCCAAACAGCAAATTCGCGATCGGTAAGTTCATTTTTAAACAGGAAAAATCGGTCCTTTGAAAAATGCAAATCTTTCAGCGCGAGGTGATTTCAATCCATGTCGGACAAGCTGGAGTTCAGATGGGCAATGCCTGCTGGGAGCTGTATTGTTTGGAACATGGTATCCAGCCGGATGGCATTATGCCTGAAGACGACTCTCTTGGTAGGATCCCATCGTCTTCTATTATAGTCATTCCTGCAGAGGATAGGGCGTGTGAAGGGGCGAGTTGAAGCGCAGCCGGAACAGCATCCCCCACCAATCGTTGCCGATCCAGGATGACATCATTGGTGGAAAAGGCCGTCTTGACAGCGCTCACAACGCCCTAATCGCTGGCAAGGATCTTGATATGTATTCCAAATTGTTCAAAACCTTTGAGAGTTCAGGTATCGAAGATGACTCATACAATACATTCTTCGCTGAAACAATGTCTGGCAAGCATGTGCCAAGGGCTATAATGATCGACTTGGAACCAACACCAATTGGTATGCAATTTACTTGTCAATTTCCCCACCAAGTAACTATATGCGGGCGAAATTGCCTCAATTAAAGGTACTCAACTCAGTCTGTGAAAGTGTTCGGCCTTCTTCTCGCGGGCATTGTAACAACTATTAGTCAGGCTAATGCATTCATAAGCGGAAAACAAAACTAAGAAACTAAAAGAAGTAAATTCTTATATGGTAATCCTTAGATGCGCACTTAGCCACCAGTAGAGCAGAGATGCTCAGTTAGCCATCAGTAGAGCAGTTTTTATATTTTGACCGTGCAGGTACTTCTCCCGAGAGACATGCACTCCATTTCCCGAAGTTGGGGAGAGCGTGGCTGCATGTCTTCATGTGGCACGCTTCCGGTGGAGACACTTGTGATAATGTTTTTGGGCAGCACAAGACAGAATGACAGTCGTCTCGAATAGAAAAACCCCACCAGAAACGCATACACGCCATGTTATAACGAAGTGAGCGGCCACGCCCTCTGTGAATTTTAGTGAACTGGGGCAAGCTTGTCGAGTCACCGTGCTAAATCTTGTAACTTCTTGTAGGATTACGAAATATTAGGTTGTCCGGAAAGTTCTCATCGTTTTGAGTGTTTCTCTTTAAACGATCATTTTCGTGTTTTCTTGTTGAATGAAACTACTTGATTCACACTTAGGCATCACTTCTAGCTAAAGTGAACAAGAAACTATTGGCGATACGAAATATGCGACTAACCGAATAACAAGGCAAGTGGTTTTGGTCCAGGGGAACGGGTTCTT